GCCAGCCAGCCAGCGCACGCAAGAGAAGAGAAAGCATATGCTGTGCACTCCATCGGTGGTCGTGGGTCGGCCACCGGACGACCAGACCAGACCGGCCGGCGAGGCGGCACGGGCACGGGCCGTGCATCCATCCGGACGTCCGGATGCTTGACTGGCTCTGAGGGCGCGTACCTTCGGATCCAACAGTGACAGTGGATCCCATCCACGTGAGATCTTCATGGGCGAAGGGGAAGCCGCTTAATGGCGCGAGGTACAAAAAGTCTCCATGATTGGCTGGTTATCCGAGCCCTGTCAAGTCCCGCATCACCATTACTTCGCCGAGAGCAACCGGCGAGACCAGGCTACCACCACATGGCAGCATGGACCGATATGTAATGTAGCCAGCAGATAGACTGTACTGTAATACTCCTATGTAAATGAGATTTTTCATCGACAACTACTACCAACAGGTTGTAGATTAGATATCAGAAAAGAAAAAGAGGCCACCACAAACAGCAAACCGCGTACAACTGGCCCCGTTCGGCTCCCTTCTCAAGAATTACCTGTTCAAGACGAGCAGATTCAGCAGTCAGACATTAAAAGAGCAATTCGAGCCAAAACTGAAGTGGGGCCTGATTTAGATTGCGAATTTTTACAACCTGAGCACTGTAGAACATTTCGTTTGTATTTGACAAACTTTGTCCGATCATAGACTAACTAGGCTCAAAAGATCCGTCTCTTGATTTACAACCAAACTGTGTAATTAGTTTTTTTTTTTTATCTATATTTAATACTTCATGCATACGTCAAAAATTGATGTGACGGAGAGGGAGAGAAAGTGAAAAAACTTAGAATTTGGAGGTGATCAAAACAAGGCCTGGGAATGCACAACGCACCAGCGGATGACACTGTGCGTCCCGGACAGTTATGCTCGGTGTGGTTGGACCTTTCCAATCATATATTAAATGGCTAATCATATCATGCAATTAACATGCCGCCATCTTTTAAATCAAGGGAACAGCCTACAAAAGAGATCTAGCAGCCCCTACACAGAGCATGCTAAGACCGGGGAACAATTATGACACAGCACCAACAATGATCCCCGACGAAAGGCTACAGCGCCTCAAGCCGTTCCAGTCAGGAGCTTGCTTAAATCTGAGATGACACTCCTCTGCACACATGTGATCGCGAGGACCGAACCAACAACATGGGAGCCGGGCACCCAGTCCTCGCAACCATCACAAGATCTCAATCCGTGTGAGTCATGATATTCTGGAAAGGGTCACAAGACCAAACCTGCTGTCACCTCTGAAAGCGAACAAGCCTGGTCATCCAATAAGGAAAGGGCTGATGGAACCAGATGGTGAGGCTGTTCATGGCCAGAACCAGAGCAAAGAGTAACTCTTTACGGCAGACACTAGGAGGTACATGAGATACCAACTGGAATATGATGATAGATTCGCTCCAAAGATAACATGGTGATCTGACTTCTTATTTCCGCTTCCGTGATCTGTCTGTTCATTGAATTTCCCTGAAATCATAGCCAAACATGTCCGTGAGAACATTGTTATGCGAATCAAACAACATCATGGCCAAAAGAACTAACCAATGGGAAACAAGCAATGATAATTGTATTACTAGGCATAAATGGAAAGATAAAAATGTCACTCCATGATGCCATAGCAATGCAGGATACATAGTTTGTTTTCCTAAGTGTTATAAAAGATGCACACCCAAAACTAGCCTCCAGCCATCAGAAATGTATAGTTTGATCTCCGCATTGTATGTGAAGGCTAGCTGCTCTAGTGTCAATAAAAACTATGTGTTGCATTGTTTTCCTTCCTGGAGCAAACAGAACAGGGAAAGCTAACACAACAGAAGCATGTCCTTCAAATGATTACTATTTTGATATCATCTGAAAATGGCACACGCTAAAGACAGTTGCAAAATGCCAAAATGAAACAGTTTTTACCAAGAGAATGCTCTATACAGAACTCTAAAAGTGCCCTTTACAAATTATGATCCTAGAGGCTAGTATGCTTAAACTAAAAATAAAGTAAAGGGTCAAATCAAGCACATGTATCAGAGCTTTAAAAAATTTAAATAAAAGCAAGTGTTTTTTTGGACACCAAAGCAAGCGTTAGGCTATTAACAACCTCTACTCTGGATACAGTATGGGTCATATGGGTGCATAGTGCATAACAAACTATGCTGAATGGCTGGTTATCATTTGCCCATCACATCTTACATAATGCTAGATGCGTGATGGCAACTGAGATACAAATAAATGGACAGGTTGTAATATTTCGATACAGCTCTGCTTAAGGACTTCTTTGAGACCTTTGAACAAAGACTTGGACAAACGCATGCTACATATCCAGCAAAACATATAAAACTAACAGGAAGGCATGTCGTATCATGTTCTAGTTACATCGCTCAAATGGCCTCCTGATTGTATGTCTTTTCCATGTGTACAGTGCAAATAGCATCTGCAAACGGTTGCGGAACATGCACCTGAGCACAAACTCATCAACAAACAGCACAACAGAAGAAGAATTGAACCATGTAGAAGTAACTTCAGTACATGTATTTGTGATCCATGCACTTTATATATAATAACTGCACCGCCAAATACTCATCCTACATGTGTGAATGGGGAAATGTGGAAGTTACATGCTCATGATCAAGAAGTTGGGGGCCAGCCAAACAAGTCGAGAAAGTTTTTGTAGTGACAAATTATATGAACCATATCAGTTCCCAGAAATTCCCTATCCTTCACAAGCACTGGTGGCTATCTAACTAGCCATTTAGCCAAACCTGGGATCGATGCAAGACAAATAGCATTTCTTAGACCAGAACAATAATCATAGAATTATAACTGACTGACAAAGATGTAAATCTCAACAACATGTTACAGAAAGATACCTATTTAGAAGTTATACAATTATATTTCTTTATTCATGTATCTCATATTTGAATCCTTAATATCAATAATTGATCACAGACCACAACCAACAACAAAGCCTTTTAATCCCAACCAAGTTGGAGTAGATCATAGAACACAAGCTTTAAATGCAGGAAACAAACAGTTGCAGCAGTAATAGCAATTAACCCTAAGATGTGATACTTAATGTTTCTACAGTTATGCTATCAAGATTGCTGAATAAACATAGGCATAGGCCCGAGTTTCAATCAAAGGACAAAAACCTTGACACCATATAACAACCATATACTCCTCACAGATACTTCACCACATGAGGTAGCCAAATTATTGCATTGAACAAATCAAAAGTTAGTGAATACAAATACATCACTTCAAATCATGGACTGAGCACTGCATTTCTCGCTCCATCACTTCAAGAATCAAGACTGCACTTTGCTGAAGCTCTTATACCTACAAAAGTCATGACCTATTACAACACCTAAATTAGTTCAGCTACCGACCAGACACTAATACCAAGCAAAAAAAACATGGGGACCAGCATCCCCAAGGCATTATAATTAAGAACCCTCAACCACATAGCCTGAGTGTATAAATTAGGACTGACCACAAAAAAATTATATTTTTGTAGTTTGCACAAACAAAGAAGCAAAGAACATGCACCTTTGAGGCAATGTTTCACATTCTTATAGTGCCACTTATGCAGATGCAGGAAGTAAAGGAACATGATAAGCATCGGATTTTTTGCCTTCTTGCAGTTCTTTTATGGTTTCATTCAATCTGGTCTGACTGCAATTGTCCTGCTTCATGTAAATGGTCTAACCTAGATATGCAAATTCACAGCCAAGCAAATTATGAACCAGGTTCATGCACCAGCCAACTAATTGTTATCCAGGCAAAGTCAAAAGTTCTAGTAGTAGGTTGCAACTGACAAGGCGACACAAGCATTTATGATATGATAGACCTTTTGTGAATCCATGACCAAGACCTCTTACAAGCATCATCCAACAGTTGTTCGTTCAGTTAAGGAACAAATTTCAGCCATATCCTGTACTGACTTGTGAAACAATGCAGCAAGTAATTTCAAACTCAACATATAAAACTGAGATGGGCGCCAACCAGTCAGGACCCAGGAACAGGAGATGGACCTTGATGCAAAGTTATCATGAGCTTTTATATAAGATAAAACCGCTGAATATCAAGTTGGCTTCATGCATCCTCAAGTTGCAGCTTGGTTGTTCACACAAATTGTTCAACTACTACTCTTTTCATTTTCTACTACTCTAGCTCATTGTAAGACCTAACAAATATGTTAACGTCAATCAGTAACCTTATGGTCAACCCCACATCCAAATTTAATAAGCCAATCATATTGTGTGACTGTTACTTCAGCATATTTAGAAAATAAGCAGCCAAACACTTTTTTCCTGTTGCTCTTGTTTTGAGTACGAGTGTCAAAGAAAAAGGAGAATAGGACACACATTCAATATACTGCAACAAACAAAGAAGCTAAATGATGCTTGAGTTGGTAAAAGTAATCTGTGAGGATGCTAACACAGAAAATTGATAAAGACTACCTCAACAGAAAAAGAACATAATTATAACATTGTTACAAATGTCTTAAAATTTAATACTATTGTAAAACAGCCTGCAGGTAGAAGATAAACTTGTCAGCTTGGGGAAACCCTCTGTAAGCTTAAGCTTCCTTATTCTACTATACATGTACAATTTAGCCTCATGGATGGAGAAAAACACCAAATTCTGAAGCAATTAAAAATTTTCTATACCTCAAATAAAATAGAAGCAAAATTTACCTGGAAAAGAGGAGATTGCAGACAACCTTGACATCATCGTATAAGGCAGTTTTGTTGTTTAAAGACTCCAACAGTAGATGTGTCATAATCTACTCATCTATCAACACACAAGTATTGCAGCTTTGTTGTTGTAGCTTCAATACACCTTCCAGTAATTTGTGCAATCTGATGTGATTGCTCCCAGGGCATAGCCATCGGAAGTGTACACTTTGAGATCAGAAGCATCGAAAGCCTATCTGTAAGTTGCTCGAAGAAGCATTGTTAACCTATATTGGATTTACCCAACTGCAACCAGTTCTTTTCTTCAATGATCCCTGGTTGATTGTATCCCTTACTTGTTCAACAACATTCCACCTTTCTGAAGAGGCGTTTAGGTTAGATACTGCAACAAGATTTGATGGTTTCCCTTGTTCCAATCTAAGAAGGGACCCGGAAGCCAGATCTTGGATTTCTTTGTTGCCGTACTTAACAGAGGCATCCAGAAGTGCTCCCCAGACACTAGGGCCTGGCTCCACACTCATTGACTTCACAAAATCCAAGGCATGGTAAACATGCCCAGATCGGCCAAGTAAATCAACCATGCAGGCACACATCTCCTCGGTTGGATGAACCCCATGATCATTTACCATGGAGCTGTATGTATTAAGGCCCTTCAACACCAAACCTGCACGGCAACAAGCTGAAAGAACACCAAGTCCAATTATACTGTCAGGTTTAACCCCAGAGGAAAGCATCTGATCGAACAAAGCAACTGCTTCGACACCCATACCATGAATGCCATAACCCAAAATCATTGCACCCCATGAGATCACATCTTTGCACCAACTGGTATCATCAAAGATCCGCCTTGCATAATGCAAGGCCCCACACTTTGCGTATGTATCAATCAAAGCATTGTTCAGTGACACCTCAGCATGCATCATCATTCTCACCGCAAAAGCATGCACCTGCTTCCCCTCTGCCAAGCCCGAGAGGGACTCAATGGCCGAGAGCACAGTGATCAACGCGATCCTGTTTGGTGGAATGGCATCAATCAGCCACATCGCCCGGAAACAATCCACTGCATCCTCAAACATACCATTCTCCACGTACCCTCCCACCATGGCAGTCCAGGAAACAACGTTCCTCCGTTCCATCCTGTTGAAAACCGTTCGTGCAGAGTCCGGGTGGCCAACCCTGCAGTACATGGACACGAGACCGCTGCTGACATGGAAATCATCCTCCCCGCACATCCCAGCCCTGGCGGTGTAGCAATGCAGCTCCCTGCCCCGGCGAGCGGACGTGCACGCGGGCAGCACGGCCGAGACAGTGAACCGGTCTGGCGCGCACCCGTCGGCGACCATCCGCCGCACGAGGCCCCACACGTCGTCGGGCGAGTGCGAGTGCGAGATGAGGGTGTTGTAGGAGGACGCGGTGCGCGCGGGCATTTCGTCGAACAGGCGGCGCGCGAGGCCCGGACAGGGGACGGGTGGGCGTAGGTAGAGACGGAGCAGAGAGTTGGCCAGGACGGGCTCGGCGTGGAGGAGTCCGAGGCGGAGGGCGAGGGCGTGGAGGGCGTCGGCGGCCGAGGGGAGGGACGAGGTCAGGGCGGAGAGGGTGAAGGCGTCGGGGCGGCGGAGCGGGAGTAGGCGGCGGCGGAAGAGGTGGAGCGGGAGGTGCGCGTGGGATGGGTCCACGGAGGCGGCGAGCGCGGAGAGGAGGGAGTTGAAGACAGGCAGCGGGACGCCGACCGGGTCCGCGAGCACGGCCGCCAGTCGGGAAGCCACGGGCGCCGGAAGCGGGTGCATGGTGTAAGCCACGGCAGGCGGCCGCGGCCGAGGCCTGGCGCCCTGGCGGTACGAGGCGGTTGGATTCTTTTTTTTTTCCCCCGAATCTGGTTGGGTTGGGCGAAGAGTCGGGCCGCGTGGGGGAATGGAAATGGAGCACGCCGCATTTTCAGTGGCAAATTCCTCCCCACTCCCCAGCGCTCAGCGCGTGTGAGGTACACTCCAGTGGGCCTGATGATGCGGAAGTTCCGAAACTTAGGCCTTTTTTAATTTGTCTCACCAGAATGTTTGACATAGGCATAAACTATTAAATATATACTAAAAAATAATTAATTGTATAGTTTATGACTAATTTATGAGTCGAATTTTTTAAACCTAATTAGTTCATAATTTGATAATACAGTAACACATGTGCTAATGAAGGATTAATTAGATTTAATAAATTCGTCTCGCAGATTACTGACGGATTCTATAATTTATTTTTTTATTAGTATCCGAACACATCCTCATGTGACACCCGATATAACACTCCAAACTTTTAAACCCTGAATTTAAACAAGGCCTTAGGCCCAAAGGGGAAGGGCACGAAGGTCGAACGTCGAGTTGTCTTCCGGGCTTCCCTCAGAGATGATGTTACGATTGGGTTTCCATGAAGCTTAGGTAGAGCTGGTGATGAAATGTGTGACTACGGTCAAATATCGAATCCGAGTCAATAGAGAGCTGACAACGGAATTTAGCCTGGAAAGAGGACTGCGGCAAGGAGACCCGATCTCACCATACCTTTTCCTACTGTGTGCTAAGGGTGTTTCTGCTCTGTTGAGGAGAGAAGAAGAGGAAGGCAGACTGCACGGGATCCGAATCTGCAGGGGAGCTCCATCGGTCAGCCATCTTCTTTTTGGCTGATGACTCCCTAATCCTATGTAAAGCCGATGCTACTGAGGCCCAGCGGTTGAAACAAGTTCTACAGATTTATGAGGAAGGGTCAGGACAACTGATAAATGCGGATAAATCAGCAGTGATGGAAGCACTCAGCATCCAATCAGAAACAATGAATGAAAGGTACCTTGGTCTGCCGGTCTTCGTTGGGAGATCAAGGAGTAATGTTTTCTCCTACCTGAAGGATCAAATTTGGCAAAGAATCCAAGGATGGAAAGAATGGTTGTTATCGAGAGCCGGCAAAGAAATCTTAATCAAAGCAGTGGCACAAGCAATTCCAGTTTTTGCAATGGGCCTATTTCGACATTACCAAGGAAATGTGCAATCAAATCAGCTCCATGATGGCTCGCAAATCAGCTCCATGATGGCTCGATTCTGGTGGAATAATCAAGATAAAGAAGGTAGCATGCATTAGGTGAGTTGGGAGACTTTAGTTAGGGGGTGTTTGATTCAGTGACTAAAGTTTATGAGGTGTCACAAAGAGGTGTTGCATGGAGTGTTCGGATATTAATAAAAAATAAATTACAGAATCCGTCAGTAATTCATGGGACGAATTTATTAAGCCTAATTAATCTGTCATTAGTACATGTTTACTATAACACCACATTGTCAAATCATAGACTAATCAGGCTTAAAAAATTCGTCTCGCAAAATAGTCTCAATCTGTGCATTTAGTTTCCTAATTAGTCTATATTTAATACTCTATGCATATGTCCAAACATCCGATGTGACATCGACTAAAGTTTAGGAGGTGAATCCAAACACCCCGTTAGTCCGAAAAGGTTTGGGGTTTACAGATCTCCATTCTTTCAACATGGCGATGCTTGCCAAGCAAGCCTGGAGATTATTACAGAATCCCAAAATACTACCCAAATTCAGGTGTCTTAGAGGCGCAGGCGAGGCCGGGGTGTTCATATACATGGTGAGGTATCAGTATGGATATCAAAACTCTGAAATAGGGGGTCATTTGGCGTGTGGGTGATGGTCGTAGTATAAAGGTTTGGGAGGATCCATGGTTACCAGGGGGTACCCCTAGAAAGCCAATCACGCCGAGAGGAAGAAGCATGATTCATGCTATTGACAAACTGATTGATCCAAGCACCGAGAACTGGGACATTGAGCTCTTGAACTAAACGTTCTGGGAGGATGATGTTAGATTATCAGAACAGTTCCAGTTCACATAGATATGGATGACGTGGTGGGTTGGCATTTTGATACAAAGGGTTGCTTCTCTGTGAAGTCAGCTTATAAGGTACACCGAGCATCTGTGATTAGAAACCAGGAAAGGCAGCAGGGATTGGGCTCTGGGGATGACACTTCTCATATAAAGTTTTGGAATAGGCTTGTGGAATCTTGATTGTCAGCCGAAAGTGAAGCATTTTCTTTGGACACTAAGCCACAACACTTTGGCTATGAGGAGAGTGCTCCAGAGGAGGGGGATGAAGCTTGATACACGTTGTTGCATGTGTGGTAGGCTTGATGAGGATGGAGGCCACCTGCTATTTAAATGTAAAGAATTAAAGAAAGTTTGGCGGGAGCTAAATTTAGAGCAGGCAAGATGCAGGCTTGCTGAAGCCCAATTGGCCTGACATATGATGGAGATGGTTCTAAAGATGAAGGGAAAGGAGCAACTCACGGTGATCATGATGCTATGGCTATGGTGGGGAGAGCGGAACAAGTGGAGAGAGGAAGGAACGAGAAGAATTGCAGCTGAAATGGCCTATATTACTACATTCCATACCGATCTGGTGCTGAAAACTGACACCCGGCTATTGTCGAAAAATCGTCAGAAGCGGAGATGGCAAAAGCCGAGGACTGGTGAGCTCAAGCTGAATACAGATGGAGCTTTTAACTATGATAAGCATGACGGAGGATGGGGTTTCATACTCCATGATGATCAGGGGCGGGTTGTGAGTTCAGGAGCAGGGCGAGAAGATTTCCACCTTGACGCTTTTCAAGCAGAGTTGTTGGGCTGCCTGGCAGGCCTTCAGGAAGTAGCAAGGATGGGGATTTCACACATTAACTTAGAAGTGGATGATGTCCTAGTGAAAGAAGCAATCCTAATGGATTACTACTGACTAGCTTCCTCTGGTGGAGTGATCACGGAGATCAAGCATCTCATTGGCCCCTATGTACTATTTTCATTTGTAAGCATGATTGTAATAGTGCTACGCATGCTCTTGCTGCGTATGGCTGTAATCTCCCAAGTGGAAGTTATAACACTTGGGAGGGGGTTCCTCGTGTCATTGAGGAATTGGCGACCAACGATTTAGCTGGGTTAGTTGAGTAATAAAAGTTCTGAAAGTTCAAAAAAAAAAGAGTTGTCTTCCTGGCCAAGGTATAGGATTCAGGGCTCCTTCGTTTACTCTAGAACCGTTCCAGCTCTCTTCAAAAAAACATTCCAACTAAAATTATAGGCTTATTTGTATTAACATTGATTATTTGGAATAGTTCCTAGCCTCAATCCAGGCCAAATGAATGAGGCCTCTATTGACACCAGGGGTGGCACACACAGAAAAGACCGCAAGCGCACGGTTGTCAGAGTAGCTTTTCACCAAGGAGTAATCCTAGGTATCAAATCCATAGGGAACGATGAGTGATCTAAATCTAGAACTAATGGATTCCTATGGATGTTGGGGAGGAAAGGAGTGGAATACTATGGGTTATTTGGTAACTATTACTTGAACAAGGAATGATAAATAATAGCTTTTTAATTTGGGGTACAACCCGTCTACCAACCAGGAGGGTTAACTAGACAAGGTCTGCCACGAGCCCTACGATTTAATAACTAAGCCTATCGTGGTGGAATACAGAGGATAGACAAGGCTGTCACCACTTGCCACCTACAACTATCTATCCAGAGACTTAGCCGCAAACACAGGTAAGGTATAGCCTAAGCACCACACTTAATCTATGCGCTTACTACTCTAATCTAGATCCCGATGAAATAAGACTAGAGCACTCTAACCAAGCGGTGAAACCCATAAACAACAGAAATGTAACAAAACTTAATGCAAGAATGGAAATAGAATTACCATAGAAGTGCCGCGGAGCTACAAGAAGAAGAGGATGCCGACAATCCCGGCTCCTCCTCCAGCTAAGCTACTCTCTTAAGACTCTTTCTTCACTTGTGTGTTTACAAATGAGCATCACGAGTCCTATTTATAGCTGAAGTGAGGCAAGGGGTACTTATAGGCAGCCACTAAGGCGGTGGAGGTTACTTGGGCATCGAGCGGCCTCAAGGGGCGCCGCCCGACCCTTGGTTTCACCGACCTTGCATCGTAGGGTGCTGGTTAGCTCTCCAAGGCAGTGGTAAAGACAGCATATGTCAAAATTCCCATTGAAGGTCGGTGCTTAAGTCGGTTGGAGCCTCCTCTTTGTATGAAAATGGGCCCTTCAATCCAAGTGAAGTGAATCTCGGCCATTGAGTGAACCGACATTGGATCAATGCTCCACAATGCTCTAGGCCACCCTCCCATGGATTAGTGACATGGCAGGGTGCTAGGTGGGGACGAGCGGTTCTATGTTGGCATCGGGCAGTGCCCCTAAAAGGTCCTAATGGCTATAGGGGGGTGAATAGCATATTGAAAAATTCTACAACAACACTTAGCAAAGAAGTTAGACAATTAAATGACGAAGCGTGTGTTGCGCTAGCCTACTAAAAATGCAAGCCACCTACCATAATTCTAGTGACTATGATCTCTAAGCACACAAAGGCTAAGTCATTACACTAAGTTAGTGTGCTCTCAAAGGCTAACTAAAGAGCCACACTAACCACTAGACCTAACACAAGCTTGCTCTCAAAGCTAATATAAGTGCACAAGAGAGGGTGGTGATGATTATACCGTCGTGTCGAGGAATTGAGCCAATCAATCAATCACAAGGTAACCAATGAAATCCTCGAACAATGATGACACAAGATTTTTTACCGAGGTTCACTTACTTGTCGGCAAGCTAGTCCTCATTGTGACGATTCACTCACTTGGAGGTTCATGCGCTAATTGGCATCACACGCCAAACCCATAACTGGGTGCCGCACAACCAACACAAGATGAGGATCACACAAGCCATGAGCAATCCACTAG